CATGGACAAGGCCAGCTTTTGAGGATCATTATGAAGTAAATATGTCATCCTGAAGGATGAAAATATAAAAAGCTGCAGCTCCTGTAAACCCGAATGTTACCAGGACACCACTACACTGGAACACAAAAATGTTGCTCCTTGACTGCAGAGGGGACACTTCCCCAGCACACACAAATCTTTATCAACTTGGATGCACAATTAAGCTAAACATTCCTCCAACAAAAGGTAAAAAATTACTCCTTGGGTGGTGTCACAGCTGAAAGCAGAGCAGTAAAGCCTCAAGAGCATCCTGAGTGATCAGTCCCGTAAGAGACATTCTGCACTAAGCTTTGTTCTGGCAGCATTCCCACTATGTGAGGAAGGAAATGCACAGCTGGATGTAAAGCTTGCAATGCAGAACTGCCTTAACTACATGGCAGGAGGATGGCAGCTCATAAGTAATTTTCCACATCAACTGTTGGCTGCCCTCCTCTTCCTCTCTGCTAGGCTGCAAACTGTCAGTGGATACTTATCCAGAAAGCACAGAGAAAAAAAGCATTACTATTATTAGCTAGTATTTTACAGGGCATGCTAGCCAAAAATCAGAGGTAAGTGAGCCTGGACAGAGTGAGAGCAGTACCAGTGCAAAGGCAGCCCTGCCAGAAGCTGCTTGTCCTCTGAGAGATGCAAAACCAAAGGGAATAGAAAAGCAGGACAAAGAGAGCAAAACAGATAGGAGAGAATTGCAAGGAGACAGAGAAAATCTGTTCTCAGACCAAGGTTTTGAGCCAGCTAATTTCAAAATACCTGCAACCCAAAGAAACACGGGCCCTTTTCCACCCTGGCTGGGCTCTGCCTAAGACGTGGCCCATGGGCTGCCAAGCAGCAGCTCTGCAGAGGACAAGGAGCTCCAAACTGCTTTGGCTTCTGAGAGAAAGAATGTGTGCTGCACTCAGAGCCAGCATTTCCCTCGCCTCAGTCTCCAGGTCTCTGCACGACCGGAGTGCAGAGTTATTACAAGGAGGCTGCTGCTCCTTGCAGGGGAAAGGTCTCCAGAAGAAAACAAACCCCAACTTCATCAGGCTCTCTGAAGCACCACTACAAACATCAGAGGGCAGAAGGCAGCACCACAAGCTGCCAGCCCAGGAGCAAGGCCATTTGAATGACTTCACAAAGACCCACTGACTTCTCAGCACTTCAGCAGAACAGGTAAAGGACTATTATATTTCTGTTCTGTGATTGGTATCTTAAGAATCTCATGTTAGTATTGGAGTTTCGTATTTTCTTTCAGAAATTCAACTCAGTTCTGCCGTTGCTATCACCTCTTTAATTCATTTTACAACAAGATATTTGTTATCAGAAATTGTGCTTTGATATGTGTCAGGTTGATGGATTCAATAAAAGCCCTGTGAGGAGAAGCTGAGTGAATGGGGCTGCAGAAGGGGCATCATCAAGGGAATTGATACCTTAACAGCCAGTCTGCTGATCTTGCAACAAAAACATGCAAATATTATAGCTGTTCCATATCCTCACACTGGCAAAACAGTCCAGAGGAACATTAGAAAACTTTTGCATAAATGTTACTCATGCAAACAAGCTCAGCCTGCTCACTGGTAAAAAACATATGTAAAACATGATCCTGCATGCTGTCCTCTTGTCCTGTTTGGTGTGCAAAATTCAATCCAGGGGAACAAAGGCTTTAATCAAAATACAGCTTTTAATTTAATTTTGGGAATTCAAGATGCAATCCTGCGATGCTCCAACCAAAATTTTCCCACAATAAAGTTGGAGGACAATTTTACTAACAAATTTTCAGACACAGCCACCTGTACCCCTCAGCAAAGACACTGAAAAGTTGCACTAGGGTCTTACTGTGAGAGGCATATAAAATCAGAGGGTTTTTTTTCCTGATTTAATAAATGAAATCATGTAAGAAACAAGAAAAATTTGAAGAAAAAAATAATAAGTTTTTATCAGACCATATAATAGAATGAATGAGAGAGGGAGACCTGCCCACTGCTCTGCTGCAGGTCAAGCAGGGCTTGAAGTCTCTGCTTCACCTGACCAGAGCACCACAGCTGCAACACCACCCCTGCACTGGCCTGGAGCACAAAGAGATTTTTTTAACTGGAACTGATTTACAGAACATCTGGAAAAGGTAAAAAAAATGTGATGTTGAGATTCAACTTTTAGAAAAGAGAAATAATATTACTAGTCTAAACAAAGCAAAGGGAAAATTTCCATAGCAATTAATCTGAAAAAGGTGAATTACATTGAGGATTTATGTTCATGTAATGAAGACAATTAATTGCTATGAGAGCCATAAAACACATTAAATGAACAGGTTTTTTTCCAATTCTACTTGCAAGATAAAATTTATTAACTATGTTTAATGGCTACTTAAAAATTTCTCTTACATATTTATTAAATGTGCCTTTTCAGCCGAACACAGCATTTTACTAACCAGATTCTACAATCTAAAAATGGGCAATTTCAGAAAAAAACTACTGCTCTGCACATCATCTGCAGAATCATTTAAACTAATTCCTCATGCAATAAGATTACCATCAGCACAATTTCATAAGTGTTGCTAAAAGGGCATCTGCTCATCTCACGTGAGCAAACACTCAGCTGCAAAGATGAATGAATTCAGCTCACATCATTTGAACAGATGTTTCAGTTTTCAGTAGAGATAGGGAGGGAAACCTTGAGTCCTGATGTCATTAAGTGTTACTGTAATCACTTAATTAAAACCCTCTCTACTTAGGAGAGCAGGACACATTGAAGAAACTGCATTGGGTGGAAGGAGTAACCTCAGAAAGAGCCATAACTAAATCTTGTGCTCAGCCAGGGCTGCAGATGCAGCTTGTGCACTAAGACTTGCCTGAAAATCAGGGACAGATGTTTGCCACTTAAAAGTGACCTAGAAGTGACTCTGTTTCTTATTCACCATTTACAAAATGGGGATAAGTAGCACTTCTGTCTTACAAGGGCGTTGTGGGAGCAGATAAAATTGATGGCAGTCAAGTACTCTGGTAATCACGAGTCCCCGAGATGAAGAGAATCAATAAGGAAAGGCCTCATCTACTCAAGTGAGCAACAACAGTTTGGCCAAATCTTTATAGTTTAGCACAACCTTCTCAAAGTCCAATGTTCTTCGTAAAGATGAAGTTTCCAGAAGTGTGACATTTAAATAAGAACCAAGTTTTAGATCTGATGGTAACGATGTAAAATGCAAAAGTAAAATCAAAGTCCAACCTAGAGTTTAATTCCTTAACAATAATTTCACACAAATCATTCATATAGACCTAGAGTGAGACTTGGATTGGCTCAGGAATGACAGGGGAGCTCATTTCCTGCCCCCCTACCCAAGGCAGGAGGAACACCACAGTCACACCAACAACCAACATCTCTGGAGCAGATCCTCACCCACCCTGGGACATCCTGGGTACCCATCAAAACTCACACCCTCACTGAAAGGAAGATTTACATAATTCAACTCAGAAATCTCAAATCCAAACAAGGAATAAACAAAACAGCTTTGATTTCTATATTCTAACAGTGCCAAATTTTTCTCTGCGAGAGTCAAGAAGCTCTCTTGATTACAAAATACCTCTCCTACAACCTTCCCTTTTAAGTGTTATAATCACAAGAGCAGTAGCTTGGAAATAAACAGAAGTGAAGAGGATAATAAAGGCAGGAGCAATGTCTAACAAGCTCTTCTTCCAGAAACCAGAGCAGGCAGACAAGCAGAGCTGTGCTGTGCTGTAATGATGGGAACCTTGCCCTGGCAACCGTGTTGTTTGCTTGAAATTCCTGTACAAATTAACAGCACATGCTGTTGGAACAGACCTTTCTTGACCCTCAACATTTAAACGTTAAGCACCCAATTTAAACTATTCCAACCAACTTTTCCCTGCAATTGCCAGACACTGGCAAAGCTCTGCTGGAGCACAAGAGTTAGAGCCCACAATTTCCAGAGCTAACGTGACAAGTCCAACCAGATCAAAAGCAGGAGAAGTAATGTACACTCACCTGCATTGTGATTTATTTTAGAGGCTTTTAAGAAAGTCTTGACTTCTTTTCCCTGCTCCTCCACTGACACCAAGCACAGGTGTTATATTGCTGCTGTACTTTTCTCAGCAAGATTATAGTGCTGGTTCAGTTATATGAAGGAAGTCAATACCCATGTGCTAAATGAAAAAGGATAATGTCATCTGGTATCACTCTACTGAGATCTTGGAACCATTGCTTTAAATCTGGGTTTTTTTGTTTGGTTGTTTTTTGTTTTTTTTTTAACTCAGAAAACTTTGCCTTCACAGAAATAACTTTACCTAGGTAAAAGAAGCCATAGAGACTGTATTACCCTAAAACCTCATCTAGCACGATCTTCATCAACAATACATCCTGGCCTTCAGTTTCTTGTTAGAAAATGGTTGCATATTGCCTTGCTACTGTTCCAGCAGAGCCAAGGCAACATTTGTGTGGGTATGAGAACACTCACACAAACAAAAATTTTAAGTGCTACACAAAAAAGAAGGAATACAATTATACAGGAAATTGGTAGTGGTGTTTCCATCCTTTGCACACAGTGAGAATACACAAAGCACAAAGGAAAGCACAGGGCTGAATTACAAATGGGCTACTTCATCTCCTTTTATTTTCCCCATCTCTGACCCTCAGAATTACAGTCATTAGTGAAACACAACAAGTGGGATTTTCAAAACAGAGATTCCTATCACCAAGTATCCATCACCAGCAGCAACACACAACCATCAGCGAGCATTTCGTTCAATAAAGAACTTCACACAAACAGACACCCCCTCAAGCCCAAGACAATAAAAACACTGCACTCCTGCTGAACGCTTTCTAAATTCAGGGAGAGCAAAGCTTATTTACAGACACAGTATGAGCATGGCATGAATACAGCAATAAACTCAAAGGCTGCTAGTGCTCTGCTTTCCCCACATGTAGACATTCAGAAAAGAGCAAAAATACAAGAGCAGGGGAAAAATACATACCTTACCAAACCTGACTGTTGGACACGACTCCTTTCAGAGCAACATTGGGGTGAAGGTAAGTTCCTCAGGCGACCACCAACCACAATTCCCTTCTGAGCCCCCCAGAGGCTCCAGCTCTCCCTTGCCCGTGTCCCTGAGGAAGATGCAGTGTCCTCCAGTATTTCAGAGCCTCAGCTGCAGAGGATGCTGCTCAGAAAAAGAAAAGAGAAGAAGGTGTGGCATTAAATTCTAGGGTCAGTTGTTTGGCAGATTCAGAGCAGAACACAAGACAACACTGGATAGGAATGAAATGTCAAGGCAGGACAGAGAATCTGTGACAATCCATCATGTGTGGCACCTTCAGAGGGCAATCATTGAATTCAAGAAATGTGGTGCAAAGCTATTCTTGCTTTACAGTACTTTTATAGTGTCCCTAGACCAGGAAATGAATGACAACCTGGTTGCTTTTTATTCCAGTCCAATATTGTAACACAAAAGTATGTAATGCACTTCTCCATAGGGAATATTTTAATTCATTATGGCATTTCTGAAGAATAACAAGACTTTCATATTAAAAGCAGAGACATCACCTCAGTCTTAATACTCTGCACGATAAAATGGCTCTTACTCAAGAAATTCAAAGCTTAGGAGCTCACAGCAGATGGGAAGTCGTGACTGCCAGCCCAACACGCCGCAGTTCCCAAAGTTCTGCCTCCAACGCAATTGCCAGAGACTAGGAAATGTCCCTGGGTTTTCTGGGAGCTGGGGGCTCGGCATCAACACATTTTCTAGCCACTGTCACTGCTAGAGGTGCTCAGAGCTCCCAAGAGGTCAGAGCCTGGCACTGAGCAGGGATGCGGGGCCTTGCTGCAGACTCCAGGTGAGAGACAGCGATGGAGGCCACCAGCAGCAGCAAGCAGGAACCTCAGAGCAGCTCTGGGAAGTGCAAATGCTCATCCCTAAGCCCTGGCAGGTGGGAAACACTCAAAGGATCATCCTTCCCCCATCCAGATAATACAGCCTGTGAAGCAAAACCAGGCACAGCAGCACAAAACAGGTGAGGACTGAGGAAAGAGCAGGATCTGAGCTCCCTATGTCAGATATATCCATGGCTCACATCCTTAAACCACACCCAGAGATGCTTTTCTGAGCCATGAACGTACTCTGACTTTGCCTAGACATTTTACAAAAAGCAAAGGGAAAAACACCAGAGATGTACAAGAGGTTTCCCTCAGAGGAGAAAGCCTGTGGCAGCTCCAAGGACCACAAAATCCCATTACACCTTGACAAGAAACCCTGAACCCACGAACAGGTTACACCTATCTGGAAAACACATTAGGTTTTAGACTTGCAAGAAGGACGATTTCAGCACCAGCACATGAAATTGTGCATACTGGAAGTTAGCATCACAGTGCCTTTTATATATATATACACACACAAATGTATATAATGAGGTTTTTCTTTTTTTTGTTGAAGTCCACACAGCACGCTAGTCACACAGATCAGAACAATCAAATAAATTTACTTTATTTAGCACTAATTACTTTACTGGACCTCATATGTTCGATACACCCCTAAAGGCTCCACAACACCTTGCAGGACACCCACAACAGAGTCAGGGTGCAGATCTCAGCCCTGTGATTGTTGTACACATTTGCAGAATTCCTGCTTCTCTTGAACTCAGACATGAAGGACAAAGTTGGACCTTCAGTTCCTGCTCTCTTCCAGGCCAACCATGAAAAATCAGACTGCCAAGTGAAATGGCTGCTGAGTGACTTATGGGCACAGGAAAGGCTGATGCTGCACTAGTTTGATCTGCAGGCAGCAGTAAGACCTAATTCTAGTGCTTTTAAGGGATTTTATCTCTGGAGACCACAGCTACAATTACTTTTTCATTTCTACTCGTAAATTGTAACACAGAATAGTCACTAAAGAATATCAGTGCTACGTTTTTGTGCATTAAGCAGAGCATCAGCTGAGTAGAGGAAGTAACAGCAAGAGGACCAGATCATCACTGTAACCTGAGTGAGGGGCCTGGGCTCAGGCTGGGAAAGGTGGGGTTCTGAGTGTTTCTGTTCAGAACAGTTTGCCAAAGAATATCTAGTAATGTGAAGGAAGGAAAGTAACAGGAGGTGTGGATGTGGAGGTGAAAACAACTTTATTCATGCAGTGAACGTGCACAATTCGCATCTCTCATGGTATAAGTGAGATGGGGCAACTTAATGAAATTAAATCAATGGCCAGGTTTCCAGGAAGCAGCAAAGTGCAGATGCTCCAGTCTGAAGGCAGTGTGCTTCCTCCACACTCTGCTGATGTGTATCACACAATACAGAGGCAGGGAGCCAGGCCAGGGTCCATCCTAGTCAGCAATAAAGGAAAAAGCTACGAAAGATAAATGCATGGAAACCCTCATGAGCTATCATTTGTGTTGGCTCAGAACCATAAAAAGGAAAAAAAGAAAAAATATAGTTAAAAGAAATAAAAAAGAATGTATGCCATTTGTGTTGCCCAAACCATTACAGTTTTGCAGGAAAACCCCTTCACATTCAGTAGGTCAGTCCTGACCTGATGGCCAGTGTCCAGCTGGTTTCCCTCTCACAGCCTCAGAGAACCCACCACAGAGCTGCCAAGGTGCTCCCTGGACCTCCTTGGCTTTGGGCAGCTCTTGCCAAGCCCAGAGCCTCGGGAGCACCCTGCAGCTGCAGAGTGAGGACACAGTGCCCAGAGGAGCTGTGGCTTCCCATCCCTGGAAGTGTCCAAGGCCAGGCTGGATGGGGCTCAGAGCAACCTGGGATAGTGAAAGCTGTCCATGGATGGTCTTTAAGATCCTTCCCAACCCAAATCCATACGATCCCTGACACAGAAATCATCCACTTAAGCCTGCACCTGCTGTAGGAGCTGGCGCTGTTCCTACCTGAAACAAAACCAAGTGTGAACTTGCAAAAAATGCCCCATGTCCTAGAAATCCCACAGCCTGCTGTTTCTAAGTTGCTGTGCTCCCCCACTCGTCTTTGATCAGAGGGAACACTCCGACAAACTGCAAATTACTTTCATTAGCCCACCACTTCAGATTTTTACATTCAGTTAACATAGTTAAGTGGTACCAGATCCGTCTTCCACTCACAAAAGCCAGCATATGGATGTTCTCATTAATCAGAAAAGGCAGACAAGACATTTTTCCAGTAAAAAGAGAGTATTTCCCTTGGAGGAATCTCAGTCCTTTGCTGATGGAAGCATGAATTATACAAAATAACTATATACTTTAGATGTAACAAATAAGCCAGATATTAAATTTGAAGACACCATTTCTATATTGGGATGTTTCCCGGCCACAAATCAATGAAGTCTGGGAGACTTTCTGTCTCTCAGGAAGCCTTGCTGTACCTTTGCCCTGTTCTTAATTCTTGTCTTTAGGCATTAACTATTGATCCCTGTTGGGGTGAGGACAGGAGCTGGCTGGACCCTCCTCTGACCCAGCACACTCATCCTCATATTTGTGTGTCATACAGCTTAAGGTACAGCTTGGGCCTTGTGGCAACGTTGATGAGCATTTTCAACTTCAGCGAGGGCAAAAAAGAGGTACCTGGAAGCTAAACAACACATCTGCTAGCAAATGTTACAGTGTAGTATTCAAATTAGTATTAGTTTGTCTCATCAAATATTAATTACGATCTACCTAATTGCAATTGAATAAATTAGTTGGGAGGAGAAAAGATTAAATATTTTAAGTGGCTGGTGACTGAAAATAATTGAAAACATAATGCCTTGCTTAAATATTAATTTTTTTTTTGTTTTTATTGCTAGCGTGGCCATTAAGAAATTAGAATTCCATATGTGTGTGCATTCATGTAGCTGTATATGACACATACCGAACATGTTAATGTATATTCTTCTAACTTCCCTTCTTCCCTGAAACTAAACTTGAGTAAGTATTTTCAATTAATAAAGAAGAGCTCCAGTGGCTGAGCCAGAAGAAAGGCTGTGAAACAAGCAAGGGAAAACACATTTTTACCGCTAAGTATTTAGCAAGGTCACCTGCCTCTGCAAAGGCAGGAAAAGAGATCCCCCAGCAGACTCTGAACAAAGCAGGGGATTACACCAATTCATTAGCAGGTATATCTTCTAATTACAGCCTCGGACACGAGTCCCCACACAGCTGAGCAGGGAACAACTGCTGCTTTTTGCTTTTTCCTCGGGATCAAGCTCAGAGTTTCCTGCTGAGCTCCAGGACAGCATCAGCACAGCCCCACCACAGGCTCCAGCTCCAAGCCAAGCTCTGTTATCCCAAAGGATTCTCCTGACTCCTCACAGCTCCAGTGCCAGGGCATGCTGTGGGAGCAACAGCTCACCACACCAGCTCCATCTCTGCTAAACATCTCACATTAATTTACTGCAAAGGTGACACAGGTGAAGAAGGGAATAAAATGAGACTTTGAATCCTTCCTTCCAGAAGGCTAAGGGTAAAAAATTGGTAGCAATGCAACTCTGGCAGATTTCCAACTACAACACTTAGAGTGCTGCCCACAGCCGTATCCCAGACACACTTTATCATTCACCATGGCTCAGTGCAAAACATAAATAAAACAGAAGTCATCAGCACTACTGGCACTCAGCTGTTTGGAGGCTTTTTTTTTTCCCCTTCCCTGCCAACAAAACAAATAGTGAAATAGGAGAGCTGCAATTCAAGTAATAAAACCCACCATCAGAAATTTGGTGGGGGCTGGTGGTGTGATGGGAAATGAACTCAATTAAAGAATGCAGGCAATAATAAAATGAAGAATATGTTGACTGAGATTGATACAATAGAATACTGTGATGCTGCTGAAGATCAGCATTGATTTTTGTTATCCAAGTACAAACTAATGGTATCCAGGAAAAAGTAAGTAAGTGGTTAATCACCCTTCCTGAATGAACTATTCCCATCGTAATAGCATCAGTGTTACATTACCAGGTTCAAGAGTGTAATTAATATCTTGCAGTGTTAGAAAATACTATAACACTGAACAGGTTTTGCTGCTATTGCATGTAAGTAAATACTTTCTGAAAATGAACCCAAGAAATGCCATGGAAATATTTCCCATTTGAAATAATATAAACTCCTTTCTTCAGCAGGCCTTTGGTTTTAACCAAAGCTGCTTCCCAAGTTCAAAAGCATTAAGTTGCAGGTTACTGTCTAACTCTCCAACTGCCAAAGCTGCATTACACTA